CTGTCTCATTCAGTGCACAGGATGGATGGTGCTCACTGAATGAGTAGTTATTAATTATTTCTCTTTAGCCAAAATGTGACTTCAGGCCTTATTTACTGCTCACCATCCAAACCCTGCACTAAATACAGAATTATTAATTTCCTCATGGGCTTTTCTGTGGCACTTGTTACCATAGTATCTGAGCACTTCACAAATATGAATGAATTTATGTTCACAACACCAGTAGGTGTTATAATGGAGGAGTTATAATAGCCATTTTACAGCTGGGGAACTGATGCACAGAGAGATTAAGGCCAAAATTGTCAAAACTATCTACCATATTGTCTCTCCCCACCGCTCCCTCCGCAGAGGTCATTAGCTGGGTTTGGACCTGTAGATCCCTAGCACACTAATGGAATAATGGATGGTTGTACGAGGCTGTTATCTCATTGTGGACCAGCCACCAGAGGCTGATGGGACACATTTTGTTAGTGGGATTCACAGCTCTTTGCTGACACCAAAGAAAAGTTGAGAGTCAGGAATCCTGGGTTCCATTTCAGGTTTTGGAGGGGAAATGTGCTCAAGTGGTTACCCTTCTTTCCCTGTCCCTTAGCATGCACCTACCTGTTTCCCCTCCTATGCCGCACCAACTGCCTGTCTTTGTCTCCCCTCCCCCCCAGCCTATCTCTGTACCCCTCTGCACCTATCCCCACCAGAATTCAAGTCCTGTCACCTCCGGCATAGACTGTGTCTTCCCCAGCACCTGTCCGTGTCTCTCTGCAGCCCCATGTCCCTCTCCCTCTCCCTCTCCCTGAAGATACAATGCTTTGTTAGTGACAAGCAGCAAACCCCTCCAGGTGCTGTTATCAATCAGCACAGCAGCATGTGGATCCCCACACCCAGCTAAATTGCATGAATGCTCCCGGAGCCACTCACAAATCACTCAGAGAAAGGCACCAGCTAATTCCCTCCAGTTCCCCAGCCTTATACCACAGAACTGTACTGTCTTGCCCTGGTCAGAAGCCCAACCAGTGTAAGTTTATTACCCAGTCCGCCCCACCCTCAATGTGGAGAGATCATGCCCTCGCCTTTGTAACCTGAGTTGAGATTTCCCAAGCACTTCAAGCAAAATAATTACCACAGAAAATAAAAGATAAGCACACAATCTAAATCTTAAATCTTATTACACTAGGCAGTATTTAAATTGAGCAATTTTCTTACCCCATTGGATGTTACAGTTCTTAATACACAGCTCTCAATACAACCAGTCTCCTTAGTTGAAGTCTTCGTCTTCTCAGCATTCTTGTTGCTTCCAGCATAGGTGGGGGAGGAGAAAGGCAAAAGCATGATGCCACTCTCCCCTTTTTTATATTCTTAGTTCATGTGCCTAGAAGACACTTGCCCAGACATGTCCTGGTGAGTTTTGCTGAGTCACTGGATTGAGCAGTCCTTGTTGTGGTCTTGTGCAACTGCCATTGAATTGTAAATCCCTTGATTACAACTCCCCTGCTGATTAGTGGTTGGTTAACACCCTCCTGGACTGGGATCACCACCCTTGTAGTAGAGACTCTCAAACTGACAACATATTTCAGTAACAACCATACAGCAAAATATCATAACTTCATACATGTTAATGATATACATATTTGAACAGAACAGTAGGTTTCAGCAGATCATAACCTTTCATATAATATCATACATGGCATGCTTTGTATGAAATATCACGATATATGAATGATGAATATGGGAGTTACAGGGTGCTCTTTTGAGGGACATTGTGTTACAGATGGCCTCCCTGCTTTTGGTTTCTGTGTCTCATACAACAGCAACCCCCTGCTGCAAGGACGAGCAATTTCAGGGAAAGTCCTGCTTAGCTCCTCTAGCATGTTAGTGTGGAGAATTTAGCTCCAAACCTGTAACTGTTCTACCACTACTTCTTCTTTCGTATGGCAAGAGAGGTGATTAACAATGTTCAGATAACCAAGTCCAGATTAGTGAGCTGATTGGTAGCTTCAGGAGTGGCTTGATGTAAATCTGGGATGCCACTGGCAAATGATCAAAGCGGGCACTGATTTACAATGTGGTCCATAGTTTTGGTTGTGTCCACAGTCACCCTGTGTGTTGCTGTCATCTCTTACACCTTTGGAAGATGAGAGACATCTGCCATGCAATGTTCTAAAATATTCAGTTCAGACCATTGTTTCTGGGGTAGGCTCGAAGGTTTTTTTCAGAGTTGGCAATTTAGTGTGTGTTTTGGACATTAGCATTATCCTAGAAAACTTTCCAAAGTGCCTCAGAATTGCATGAGGATGCTTTAGGAACTTTAGCACAATCCCAGAAAGGCTTGCAAGATTTCAATCATGTCTTTGGAAGGTTCTGGAGGTCCTCATGAATTGTCTACTGAGCACGTGAAAGTTGCATTTTTTTTATTATACGTAGCACACATTTCCTCCATGCATACATCCCTATGTTAAGAATAGGGCTGTCGATTAATTGCAGTTAACTCATGCGATTAACTCAAAAAAATCATGATTTAAAAAATTAATTGAGATTAATCACAGTTTTAATCGCACTGTTAAACAATAGAATACCAATTGAAATTTATTAAATATTTTTGGAGGTTTTTCTACATTTTCAAATGTATTGATTTCAATTACAACACAGAACACAAAGTGTACAGTGCTCACTTCATATTATTATTTTTGATTATGAATATTTGCACTGTAAAATGATAAACAAAAGACAATATATTTAAATTCACCTCATACAAGTACTGTAGTGCAATCTCTTTATTGTGAAAGTGTAACTTACAAATTTAGATTTTTTTTGGTTACATAATTGCACTCAAAAACAAAACAAGGTAAAACTTTAAAACCTACAAGCCTACTCAGTCCTACTTCTTGTTCAGCCAATCATTAAAGCAAACAAGTTTGTTTACATTTACAGGAGATAATGCTGCCTGCTTCTTGTTTACAATGTCACCTGAAAGCGAGAACAGGCATTTGCATGACACTTTTGTAGCCGGCATTCCAAGGTATTTACATGCCAGATATGCTAAACATTCATATGCCTCTTCATGTTCGACCACCATTCCAGAGGACATGCTTCCATACTGATGATGCTTGTTTAAAAAAAAAAAAGTGTTAATTAAATTTGTGACTGAATTCTTGCAGGAGAGTTGTATGTCTCCTGCTCCGTGGTCTGACCTGCATTCTGCCATATATTTTGTATTACGGTAGTCTCAGATAGTGACCCAGTTTGATTTAAGAACACTTTTACTACAGTTTGATAAAACACGAAGAAGGTTCAAATATCAGATTTCTAAAGATAGCTACAGCACTTGACCCAAGGTTTAACAATCTGAAGTGCCTTCCAAAATCTGAGAGGGAGGAGGTGTGGAGCATGCTTTCAGAAGTCTTAGAAGAGCAATACTCCAATGCAGAAACTACAGAACACGAACCATCAAAAAAGAAAATCAACCTGGTGGCATCTGACTCAGATGATGAAAATGAACATGCATCAGTCTGCACTGCTTTGGATCATTATCGAGCAGAACTAGTCATCAGCATGGACTCATATCCTCTGGAATAGACATATGAAGCATGAAGGGACATATGAATCTTTAGCACATCTGGCACATAAATATCTTGCGACGCCGGCTACAACAGTGTCATGCGAACACCTGTTCTCCCTTTCAGATGACATTGTAAACAAGAAGCAGGCAGCATTATCTCCTGTAAATGTAAACGATTGGCTAAACAAGAAGTAGGAATGAGTGGGCTTATAGGCTTTAAAGTTTTACATTGTTTTATTTTGGAATGCAGTTATTTTGTACATAATTCTACATTTGTAAGTTCAACTTTCATGATAAAGAGTTTGCACTACAGTACTTGTATTAGGTGAATTGAAAAATACTATTTCTTTTGTTTACAGTGCAAATATTTGTAATACAAAATAAATAAAAACTGAGCACTGTAAACTTTGTATTTTGTGTTGTAATTGAAGTCAATATATTTGAAAATGTAGAAAACATCCACAATATTTAAATAAATGGTATGCTATTATTGTTTAACAGCACGATTAATCATGATTAATTTTTTTAATCGCTTGACAGCCCTAGTTAAGAATGTTTTAAGGTTGTAAAGTCTAGCACTCAAAAGTTCGGAAATGCCAGAATTCAACAAAATTAGAGTGGATTTTTATGGTGACAGCAAAACGCACATCCCTGATATCAAGCAGACTCCCACCCTTGCCAACTTTCAAGTCCCTATTCCAAAGCCTGGAGGCCCTAGAGCTTCTCAATTAAATGGTAATAAGTTTTTTTTTTAACAAGGGTAGAACAACATAATCTTCCCTAACTTTGCTCTGAGAAATAGCAGAACCGTTTTAACTGAAATTTTCAAAACATAATTTAGTCTGAGTCAGACACCTTTCATGAAAATTTCAGCCTGGATGGTTAAAGTTTGGCAAAGTATAAGGTCTGTTATTAGTTGCTTGTAAATGGACAATGTTAGATGGTCTTTCTTAGAGGTCTTTCTGCCAGCTCTCCCTATAAAGGATGTTGTTATTAGCTCTATCTATAATAAATTTTAGTATCCACTAAAATGTGGTATACAGAATGTCATTTTATACTTTTAATATTCAAAATGTTATCCAGGTTGGATATCAGGAAAAACTATTTCACTAGGAGGGTGGTGAAACACTGGAATGCGTTACCTAGGGAG